CATTCAGCCTTAACTGAATTCAATGAACTACATGATAATATAAAAAAAATTGCAGAAATATAGGTACATTAAAAAATGAAGTAGAAAAACTGATTATTTCTGAGCGAACTGGATAAAATTAATCATACCATTTTTTTTTTTACAAATATTATTCTCTGTTTGCCAATTTACAGTTGTTGATATATTTTGAATGATGCTATGTTTACCTATAGGTATATAATTATGTACTTCCTTATACCAGAGCCTATTCTGTCTGGAAGTTATTTGTTCAATAAATAAATAAATAAATAAATAAGTAAATAAATTACAAGCCAAAACATAGTTTACATGACTTTGAAAACTGATAGATATCATTTATCATAGATTAAACAAACAATAGATAGACAATCCCTGTACAAATTGGTAACGCTCATAAATTGTACGCCAAATTCACATTAGTATTATCGTCAAATGTCAGATGGCGCTCTATCTCTTTTATCGATCGACTCGTAGTAAAATTGTGAAAGAATAATAGTATTTGGGCGTGGCATCAAGATAAGGATCATGATTTATGGCTCACAACATGAAAGGGTCTTAACAGGTAGGAAAATAACTTGTATGAGGTAGATATGGTTCCTTCGATGATTATTTTTATTCACGCGCGTGTAGGAAGTCTTCATTGTTTTTTTTACGGGGTAGGTCAAGATGAATTGAAACTTGATTTTGAAACGTATACTTTAAACATAGATTAAAAATAAATTGAAATATCTAAATAGCTGGAACTTATCGAATATACAGAGTGAGTAAAATTGTAGATCGAACATTTTTAAAATTTCAAAATATCGAGAATCTGAATAACATAATTATGGTTTGTCAATGGGTTATTCTATGATATAGGGTGGGTCAATATGCGTACGACCTTTTTGATCGCTTGAGTTCGTTGACGGCAGGTATCTTATTCAAAAACATTGATACCAACAATGATTGATATAATCTGTAATTTCAAATCATGACATAAATATACAGGGTGAGTTGAAGAGATTTCGATGAACTCAAGAGATAACTAAATCTACACCGAGATCTAGGTACACCTTCTCAAATCTTCAGAATCGACAGAATCTGATCAACTCATCAGTCGCCATTAGGATATTCCATAATATATACAGGGGGCTATAATAAGTACGTTCTCTTCGTATTGCCTGAGTTCTAGTTCTATAATAGCATTATGATAGCTATAAATCACATTTAATATCGTTATGAAACCAAATCAAATAATCTCTGACTGAAAATCATTATCGAATATACAGGGCGAGTAAGTCAAATGGGATATTAATTTTGAGAATTCCAAGTGACAGCTGGACACTTTTTCAAATATCTAAAATCTGAGCAACTCTCTTCGATTCCGATAATTTCAAGAGATTACTATACCTAAGTCTATATACCTTTCCATATCTACAGAATCGAGAGAATCTGGGAGCTACATATATACAGGGTGTTCCAGGTTGAACGTCATTGAATTTTATAAGCGATAAAACAATGAAAAAAAGTTGACTCCTGGAAAAACTTTGGTTAAAAATACTTCCCATCAAAGATACAGGGTGTCAAATTTGTGGGCAGAAATTAGATTTCTCATCATTACTTCCAAACCACTCGACCGATTTTGATCAAATTTCGCACAGATACTAATGTATTTCATCTCTGAGTAATGATTGAGGTTATTCGAGGAAATTCTTCAGTGGCGTAGATAATGGGGGTCGACATATCCTTCTCCCTCTCCTAATCTTCGGTTTCACTAAATATTTTACAAAAAGATTACATTTTTGGATTTCTTGTTCAATTTAGAGAATAAAAATACCTTTGCAAATGTTTGAATTATGGCTTCGTTTTCAAGATACTTATTCGAATTTAGAGGGTTGCATCAAGAAGGCTAAAATTTTCGAGGTTTTGTACAGGCTGTACTAGTATGGTTTTCAATAATGTTAATGAAGTAGGTACACATTACACTGTTGATTTTGATGATTCCAAACTTAACGCGGCCGCCGAGAACTCAATCGAGGTGTCTAAACTCTGACACCCTGTATCTCTGTTAGGAAGCATTTTCAACCAAAGTTTTATCATGAAAGTCTACTTCTTTCCCGTTTTTCTGTCGCCTATCAAATTTAATGACGTTTAACCTGGACCACCCTGTATATATATACGTCCACCTCGATTGCTTGAGTTCGGGTTCTATATAATAGCATACAATAGCTATAAATAACATTTGATATCGTTATGAAACTATATCAAATAATCTATAACTGGAAACTATTATCGAATATACAGGGCGAGTCAAGTGGGATATTGAATTTAGAGAATTCCAACAGTGACAGCCAGCCAGAATCTACACTTTTTAAATCTCTAAAATTTGAGCAATTCAGTCATCAATAGGTTTTTCCATTTTTCTATAATACAGGGTGGATCAATAGTACGTCAATTATCGATCTCAAAAAAAAGTAAATTCGGACCCTTCGTGGTCAGTTCAGAATATTTCAAGAGTGGGCCAGTAAAATAAAATTGTAACATTGAAATAACTTGAGGGAGGAAAAAATACACAAGTGATGAATATTTCAACCCAACATATTCATAGATATTATTTAAATACCATCATGATTTTTGATTACTCCTTTCTACGAAAAGAGATATCGTGGTTGAGGAAGCAATTTACTTTCCATTAAAAAGGTATTAAATTTTGTATTTAATTTGATGAAATGAAAATCAAAAGAAAATTTGAATATTCAAAGTTATTGGACACAATTGAAGGATTCGAAGACCTAGGAATAATAGGTGGTGGATCTGAGACGACGGGGACACAAGTGATGGTACTTTTGGCCAGAGGACTATATTCCAAGTGGAAGATTCCATTAGGATATTTTGTCTGTGGTAGTGCTATGAAACATACCATCCTGAAAGAAGTGATCATCAAAGCCATTCAACAGGTGACAAATACTGGCCTTATTGTCAAGGCAGTAGTGTGTGACCAGGGAACAAACAACCAGGCAGCTATGAGGAATTTACATGTCTCCATTGAAAAACCATATTTTGAAATCGAAGGCCGAAGAATATATTGTATTTTTGATCCGCTCCATTTGTTCAAGAACTTTAGAAATATAATTTATTGCACCATGACTTTATCTGGATGAATAGGAGAGTATCGTTTGATGATGTGAGGAAGACATATAATATTGACACATGTAGTACAACAGGAAGGACTTTACTCAAGATCACTCCTGCCCACATGAATCCATCAGCATTCGAAAAAATGAATTGTCGGTTGGCACTCCAAATTTTCAGCAATTCTATTGCCGCAGCTATTAGAACTTGTCATGAAACCAAACAATTAGAAAGTGATACTGCTCTTGCTACAGCAGATTTCTTCCAGATGATGAATAATTTGATCGATTGTTTGAACAGTAAGCAGTTGTATTCCAAGAATCCATATAGTTGCGCAATGTCCGATGAACGCCCTATATATATTCGAAAATACGATCACTTCTGCAAGAGATACATTGATAGAAATCAAGAAAGTTACTACAACTGGATATTCTAGACCTGACTGTTTTGATCGAATATTGATCACTTTGTCATCAATATTGGGAATTTATAATGAACAAAAAGAATTAGGATTCACTTATTTATCAACAACAGATTAAATCAAGATGTTATTGAAAATACTTTTTCAAGTGTAAGGCAAAGAGGCGGATTCAATCCAAACCCAACGGTTAGAACTTTCAGGTGTACCTTTCGTATCATAGCAAAAATGAACTTAATGAAGTCATCAGATTTAAGTAATTATGAAGAAGATGATGATATTAATTTGATGACAGTTCCATCTACTAGTCATGTGAATGAAAATGTCGAGGAAAATCTTGACAATCCTCCTACAGAGAATTTACTCGAAAATCAAGTGATTCCATCATCCTCGTCTTCTTCAAATGATGAGGAAAATAAACTCGAAAATAAATATTCACCTGTAACCCTGGAAGATTGTTCGAATGCTTATTTTGCAGGATACTTGGCAAAAAAATGTATCGATAAATTCAAATGTAATCCTTGTGCAAATAATTTGATAGTTAACGATTTCGACAATATAATGAATGACGAAAAACAATTATTGATAATCAATAAAAATTATAGTAAGAACATACAACATCTAAAATACCCCACTGACGAATTCAAGACTATGGTTGATGTAGCTTTAACTTCTTTTTCAAAAACATTCCTCAAGAAACCATATATAAATAGAACAAAACTATTCATCAAGAATAAAATTTTCAGAAAGCTGTCGAAAAAGTGTCCCATCTTTCATAACGAAGTTGAATGCAGAGAACATATGGAATTCATAGTTGATCAGTTAACGTTATGTAAACTTCATAAAGAGTGTAAAAATGAATCCTAGCTAGATCGATTTATCGTCCTCGAAACCCTCTGTATACGGAATTTCATGAAAATCGTTGGAGTCGTAAATGGTTTGGCGTGCCATGATCTTGTTACACCCGGTATATACATTTTCTGAAAATGAATCCTAGCTAGATCGATTTATCGCCCTCGAAACCCCATGTATACGAAATTCATAAAAATTTCATAAAAATTGTTGGAACGGTTTCCGAGATTCACATTATACAAGTATTGTTCGTTTAAAGATATAATATTTTAATCATAGGTTTCCTGCCCTTATGTGTGTGCCGCTACTGCCGCTCGTGTGCAATTTTCGTGTGTCGATGCAGCACGCCCCTGTCTACCATTCATCAATGGAGTTGAAAATGTTTTCATTGGCTATCCTAATTCATTCATGTTCACTAGCTGTCTCCTAATGGTTATAGGAAACTGTAATTTTTCCTCAAAGACGCGTAGTGTGTCTACTAATATGCAGATGGCGACAAATTCGCACGTGCAGAAATCGGCCCATATACATTGCCTATCTATTGTTTGTTTAATCTATGCATTTATGAAACATAACTAGTAACATAAAATTATTCACTCACCATGTTGATCCACCCATAACTTCCCGACTATAATATTATGTACAGTAGTAGTAACTTTCCTCCAGGAATATTTATTCCCACTGTTATTGAATTCTGCATGTGCTATTCCTAACGGTATTACCTGAAACAAAATTAATAAAGTCACAAATCACTCAAATCATTAGTGAAGAACATAAATCAAAGAAAACATATTTTTTTACAATTTCCTGAGAAGGTAAAGTTAAAAGAGTGCAACTATATAACAGTAGAAAAAAACTAATGAGCCTAGGCATATGGCACTGGTGATATTGTACAGGGTCTCTAAAATGATCGTAACATCCGTAGTGGCTGTTGACATTTTTTTCCATTTGCCGCTTTCTACTAATGCTGTTAACAACATTTAACGACCAAAAAGAGAGGAAGTGATCATACAGGATCTTTGTTTATATCGTTTTACATACACTATGGAAATGTATCTCAAAGAAAGGAGAGTCCAATATTGGAGTTCGAAAAATAATGGAACAAATCAAAAATATTTATTAAAGAAGTAATAAATAACGGTTTATTTCATTACCTACATCAAATGTTCAAAATGTTCTCCGTTGTTCTCCAAGCATTTTAAAACTCTTCGCCGTTTGTTGTCGAAAATCTTCCTCAGCATTTCCGGGCCAATATTTTGGCAGCAATGTGTTATTGAGGCTTGCAGCTCTTCAAGGTTATTATCGTCTCTCTTGAATACTCCGTCTTTCAATTATTCAAAAAGGCAGGAATCCAAAGGCGACAAATCTGGAGAACGTGTTGGAAAAGAAGGATCAAATCCTCGACTTATCACACGGTTGTCATAAAATTCCTGTAAATATTCTGAATTTGCACGTGTGTCATCAGGTTGATTGATGAATGGTTCTAACATCACTTGTATGTACCTTTCACCATTGATAGTGCCATCGAAGAAAATCGCTCCATATATTCGAATACGAGAAACTGCTAACCACAATCCAATTTTTTGATAATGTAGTGGAGTCCCAATGAAATTGATGTGGGGATTCTCAGATCTCCAAAACCTAAAATTTTGTGAGTTCACGTATCCCGACGAATGAAACCAAGCCTCATCGCCGAAAAATGTTAGGTCCAATAGCTGGTCATCATTGAGATTATTTTGGAACCATTGGCAGTACATTGGACGAAGTGGGATATCTATTAGCAGAAGTTGCTGTAGTACACTGGTCTTGTAAGGGTGCATATGCAATCTTTTCTTGAGCACTTTATGGCATATGTACTTAATGGCACACCAGATGACGTTTGGGGATTTTGCTCAACACGCGCCCTTAGATTTTCGACAACTTCTTCCGATATTTGGGATCTTCCTGTTGATTTCTTTTTATTAACGTTCCCAGTTTGGATGAATCTGTTGATCACTATTCTGATGTGGGCTTTCAAAGAAGATTCTTGAATCTGTACATTAGGATAGTTCGTCAGGTACTCATCCTTGCATGCTACTACCGAGTAACTCCTCCATTCACCATTGATGAATGTGCCATTTCGACAATAAGACATTACAATAAAAGTATTCTGCTCCAAGGAATAATCCATTCCTCTTTTCAACACGACAATCACGAAGTAGAAAATAGAATCGTTTGAAAATTTTAACGAAAAACTGACAATTGTGAGTTCATCAGCTATGACAGTATATTGATTGATGTCAGAAATTACATTCGAATGTGTGTGAATCTCCATAAATGAAAGGCGGCAAATGGAGAAAATTTTTCAACGGCTACTACGATGTTACGATCATTTATAGAAACCCTGTATATGTCAGCAGCGATGCTTCGTATAGTGCATGATTTCGAGTGACTTCGGGGATTGGAAGGATTCTGCCGCCTGGTGTGTGATGAGAACTCGACCTCCCTGCCGATTGATCGACGGACGACCCGTTGGCTCAATTGGCAGAGCGTTGGGCATGTAACCCAGAGGTTGTGAGTTCGACTCTAACACGGAGCGGTGAAGTTTTTTCATTTTCCATTGTCACTCGAAATTAGGGCTTTCAATCTTTATCATTATTGTATGTATCTTTTCGGTTGAGTAACCGACAAACATTATGACTTGACTCCATTTATGACATACATTTCCACCATACTGTTTATTGTTAAACTTTTCATCAATTTCAGAGTCGATCCGCGAAACACCGACCTCGACCTCACCTGCAGATACTTCCCTCTGAACTTGGAGGTCATGGTGAACTCCTGCCAGCACTTCCATCCCCTGCCCTCGCAGAACTGCGCCACCATGGGCGGATGGTGGGACACTTGCTCGTTGATCGCCCGCCAGCCCAGATCGTCCGTGCGGTCGCACTCGTAGGTCTCGCCCAGCAGCGGGTTGAACGGCTTGCCCGTCCTGTTGCTGGTCGTCGAGTAGGCCGATATCGTGAAGGCCGCCACGTAGGCGACTTGTTTGCATGGGTCAGCGCACCTGATGGACGAATGCTCTATAGGCACCAGAATTTCAAAATGCCAGGGTACGGGTAAGGATCACGTGAGGACATATCAAAATGAAATAATGATGTGCTGCAAACGCTGTTTTAAATTCACCTGACTAGAACTATTGTATATAAACGAATAATCTAGTGTTACCAATTTTGATTGTTATTCACGCGTGAAGTGGCACTTTACCGCCCGCTGACTACTTTACTGCCCGGCGTATAGGTTACTCTTACTCGTTCCTGTACAATTCAGTAGTGATGGTTCCTTACAGTCCAAGTCAGAGCTGTATAAATTCTGCCACTTAGACGAAAAAAGGATGAGTGGAACGAAACCTATTGATAAGCAAATATAGACCGCATTCACTATAATAAGATTATTGTTATCGTCATTTCATATTTATAAATGTTAATTTATTATTGGTTTGATCATATAGTATATTTTGTCTATGACAGACAGTTGAGAATACAAATTCAATAGTGTCATCGAATGATTATAACGAAATAGAAAGAAATTCAAATAACTGGTAGATAAGATTGAAAAAGAATATTGGTCCTTCGAGCCGGATGAAGAATTCAACTACGGAATATGCAATCCAACTCATTTATCATGAATGGAAATACCAGTCAGATATAAAGTACCTATGCCAGATAAGCAGAAACCAGACTGGAAAATACCTGCCGAATAGAAAACCAAAATGATGAAATAGACTTGAGACGACAGTGGAAGATAGTTCAAGTACTAGATAATAATTTTTGGACGAGATGGGTGAGAGAATACTTACCAGAATTGAACCAGAGAAAGAAGTGGCACGAGAAGAAAATGAATTTGAGAGAGGGAAATATAGTTGTGGTGGCTGACAACAATCTATCGAGGAATACTAGGCCAATAGGACGAATAGAAAAAACTGTAAGCTGAAAGTACGAGAGTGAAGAATCTTCACTGAGGGAGAGAATGTTATCGTCATATCATATTTATAAATGTTAATTTATTATTGATTTGATCATGTAGTATATTTTGTTAATGACCGACAGTTGAAAATAAAAAATGAAGATTTGTCACAGATGAAGGAGTGTCATCGAATGATAATAACGAAATATAAAGAAATTTAAATAACTGGAAGATAAGATTGAAGAGAAATAATTATAATTATATTGTTCAACTGAATTCTAATTCGGAAAGATACTTTAGATTTGGCTATTGTGTCAAATGATACTTTGTAAACATGCATATTTGTGCAGACATGTTACTATGCAACCAAGAGTACATTCATATCTCTTTAACGTGGGTGGAAAAGAGACGCCGCATCAAAAATGGTCACGTGGCACTAAATCATTGTGAAGACCCGGTACAAGCGTGTAACCGATTGTGTTCTGATGAAAGCAAAATTGACGAAAACTACATTTATTGGTTAGACAGATGATTTTCTGCTACCAAACTTTCAAAACCCCTCAAAATGAGGGTTTGGTATATAACTAAATTAGCATTTTTATATTTCTGATCATGTTGAAACAACATTTTGAACATTGTTTATATGACCTCTAATGATGAATGGATACGGTCCTGATTTCGCTATTATGAGATTTCTATCGATGAATTCGTTCAATTTATCTCCGTCCCTTCCATTTCCCAAGAGCCACAATTTTAATTTCCTTCTAGTGGTGTTGAAGGATTTGTTAAGATTCCCTAGCCATATCGTCGTTCTAAATGAAAACCTAGTTAGTAGACGGGATGTTGGGAGGTGTAATATTGTCTGTTCATTGACCCAAAATATGTCTGCCTGTCAATGGCGCAAGTTTACTGAAAACATCCAGAGTTCATTCGTTTCAATAGAATATTTTTTATCAAAATGGCCATTCAGTAATTTCCGAGTATTATTTTAGGTTATTATGACGGTATAATCGAAGTTATTATAATCATGAAAATGTGCATTGTTTTTTATGCTTCTTTACATCACCTAGAATTGCTGTAATTAGTTGACTTTCTAAATTTCAAATCATAATATCCATCCATATTTTAATACATGAGACTTATTTTCTAATTCATAAATTTGTGCTCTGTCATTCGCCACAAAGAACCGGTGTGTACCTTTCATAATACTTATATCTTGAATTATAAAACTTGAGACTAATATCATGAAAATCAATTGTGTGGCAGCCTTAAAGCTTCCCAGCTTTTATGTGATGAAACCCTCTTGGGGTGTGTGGACTTAAAAATGTTTGCATTCTGAAGGTTCATACAAATTTATTTTTCATAGAAAGGAGTAAAGAAAATTCCAAGAATTTAGAGACAAATAATTCGTGAGTTTGTAAACATTAGTTTCAGGGCTCTATGATTTCAGAAACCTTCCATTTTCTGGGAATTAATCCTATAATAGATATTATTAAACATTTTTTCATTTATTTGATCGCCCAAATCAAAATCACAATATTGGAACATCTTACATACCTGCTGACAATAGGGAGACGGGGTAGGTATGGGACAGGTCATTGCAAAAAAAAAATGAAAATTTACGCAGATAATATTGAATAATATTACGAAATATCTTCGAAATAGTGAGTTACAACCCCAAATTCGCACCTATTTCGAGTTATAATTTGAAATTATCTCTCTTTCAGGAATTATATCCAATTAGAATCCATCACTGGGTAATTCACTTATTGTAAATAGGTGAATTCACGATAGTATGGAAGCATCAACTTCATTAACCGGTTAGAACAGATTATTTTCTGTCTCCACCAAGATTTCAGTTTTTTTTCAATCTAGTTATGTCTTATCAATGAAACAAAAACACAAAAATGAAACAAAATTACTCACTTTGCAGCTTCGTCTAAAATGTTAGCATATTCAAAGTCTTCCGTTAAACGTTGTAACATTGATAGGGGCTCATTGAAATTAACTGGCATAGGTATTTTCGACAAATCTTTGCCGATGCAGTTTTTCATGATGCTCCATAGATTCAAAGGGTAATTGGGCTTTTCGGGAATCCTTAAACGTCTTTGACGTTTTGATTGGTGTGCAATATCATTCTCGTTGGTTTCTGTACTCTTCTCCTGCTTTGTGGATGGTATGTTTGGATGTTTCCCAGTTACCACTACAACCTGTAGAATGAATGGAATCAAGCTCAATAAAACTAAATAATTCAATTGAATATCAGTTTAAATGTAAGATTTTCAAGTGATAGGTTTGTGTAATGTATAGGTCGCGTGCATGGGTTGTGTGCAAGAACTGTCAGATGACCGACCCTGGAGGTGAAACATTGAAACACAATCTCACTTTTCTTATTTGTTTACAAGTAATTGAAATAGTTTTTCACAATTATTTTGGCATAGGAATAGTTTTTTTCGGCTATTCATTAACTCACGCATGCTATCACATTGTGCTGTTGTACAATGCACAAAAAATGCAGCGGGAGACGAAGGAATCCGGTTGGTACATTGTGATTTGAAAGTAAGTACCTACTATAGTCACTCACATAAATAGTTTTCATTTTTGAAATTTGGTAGTTTATCTGATTTTTCATCGGAATTCCTTCTGCAATAGGAACTAATAGAAATACTCATGAAATTTCTAAAATAATGCAAGAAGATTGGATTCATGCAATCAAACGGGACGACTGATCTGATATGCTGACCAAATATGATCGTGTGTGTTGTAGACATTTTCAATCTTTCAGCAGTATTAGCTTCTATTGCAGAAGTGGCAGAAGGAATTTTAATAATAAATGTCAAAATTTCATAATGAAAACTGTGAGATTACTATTTACCTGAAAAATCATATTATTTTTCGTCTCTCGCTGCACAATGCGAAGCCATGATTGAATTAATGAATAGTGCAGAAAACACGATTCGTATGCCAAAATATTGTGAAAACCTATTTCAATCCTTTGACTCCTCTGTAAACAAATAAAAAAGTGAGGCTGTGTTTCAATGTTTCACGGGAAAGTGAGGTTCTGTTTCAATATTTTACCTCCAGGGTCGATCATCGTGCACGCGACCTATGATGACCGACCCTGGAGATAAAACATTGAAACAGAACCTCACTTTCCCGTGAAACATTGAAACACAACCTCACTTTTCTTATTTGTTTACAGAGGAATAAAGGATTGAAGCAGTTGTTCACTCGTGTTTTCCGAGGTATTCATTAATTCGAGCATGCCATCACATTGTGCTGTTGCACAAATAATGCAGCGAGAGTCGAAGGAATATAATTTTTGAGGCTAATAGTGATCTCATACAGTTTTCATAATGAAATTTTGTCATTTCTCATTAGAATTCCTGCAATAGAAGCTTATCCTGCTAATAGAGTGAAACATGTGAAAATGTCCACAACACACACAATCATATTTCGTCAGTCGTCCCTTATTGCTTCATGAGTATTTCTATTAGTTCCTATTGCAGAAGGAATTCCAATGAGAAATGATGAAATTTCAAATTGAAAACTATATATGAGTGAAAATAGTAATTTTAGATAACAAAAATCGGATTCTTTCGTCTCTTGCATTGTATAACAGCACAATGTGTAGTATGCCAAAATAATTGTGAAACTATTTCAATCCTTTGTAAACAAATAAGAAAAGTGAGGTTGTGTTTCATTGTTTTTTTACCTTCAGGGTCGGTCACCTGACAAATCTTGCACGCAACTCATGTTTTTGGGTATCATCATAAATTTTGTTGAGTAGGTTATATTGCCATGTTCTACACGAGTGAAGTGTGTTGAGTAGTAAAGAGAAGGGAGTTGTGAAAACAAGAACATTTCTTCACGAACTTAACCACAAAATCCGGGTCAACAATACGTTAACCAGTAAAATTGTCTCGAGGTGTATTTCAAACTATGACGTAATAGTTAACCAACCACTAAAATTAGTAGCATCATTTCATTGAAGATATTTTCATTATTATCAAAAACAGATGAAATAACCTAAGATAAAACTAGAGAGATGGCTACAGATAAAATAACCTCAGATAAAACTAGAGAGATGGCTACAGTTAGTTAGTCTTCAGCCGTTAGCTAAACAAACATTTTCTTAATCACTTCCAGAGAAAAATAATACTGAATAAATCGATGAAATAGGGAAAAAATAGAAGCTACATTTGACCTACTTGTTTAGTTTCCTGCGTTTCCTCCGTTTCACTAGAACTATCAGAGCTATTTCGTCTATGTCCAGTTCCTGTCCTTATATTCAAGGTAAAACGTTCATCGGTCGTCTGATGTTGTGTGCCACCTCCTTCGGCTATTGCATCATAGAATTCATTGTCATCTTCCTCTTCGTTTTCACTAGCATTTACTGGAAATAATTTTACACTAGGATATCATAAACTGTGGATTTGGAATGAAAGGAAACAGTAATTTTTGACAGGAATTTAGGTTACCTATGTCATTTATCAAAAATATGAAACAATATTTTGAAATTAGCAGGCTTCATCGCGAGTCAAATCGGTTATTATAGAGGGTGTTTGGAAGATCGATGCAAAATGGTGCGCAGGTGATTTGGAGTGCTTTGAGCCAATCATACCTGTATGTTCCACGAAAATTAGGATTTTGATATGGAATAATTGGAGCATTGCGGAGGATTGGAGGAAAATTATTATGAGGCCCAAATTGGTTGGGCAGTCACTATACAGTGTGTCTCACTTCTAGTGGAAGCACTCCTGGCTCTTTCCTACTTATGGTGGTGCAATTCTGAAATTGGCAGTAGCGAAAATGCTACCGACGATACATTTTTAATGACCAAATAATATACACTGCTCGCCAGTAGTCAAGGAACCAGCTATACCGGGTGTCAACGAATCTAGTAGACAAACCATAACTTCTAGAATATTCGGTGTATCAAAATGAAATTTGATATGGGTGCATGGTATGTGAAGAGAAAAGTTTTTGCATACTTATCACTTCCCAGTTACTTCCGGTTTTACCGAAAATGGCTCCAGTTTCGAATTTTTGGGATTAGAATAGGACATTTTCAGAAGTTCTGGCGCCTACTTGTATTTTTGAGTCATTTTTAATATTGCATCTAGGTGAAAATACATTTTTTTTTTAAATTCTTAAATTTCTCGAATTTTCTGTTCAAATAATACCTGAGTGTTTTGTTTCCCAAAGAAGACTCGAAAAAGATAAAGATAATTGCAAAATATTATGCATCATGGCTATCCATCGCACACTTGACAACAATTTTGAATAAATAATTATCCAGTATTTTCTTTATTAATATTAAATTCATGTTCTTATTTTCAATTCAATCGCAAATAAATTATAACCTTTTTTTTTTAATTGACTCGGCCGATACTTGATAAAAATCCATGGCAAATGTAAAAGCTTCACAATCATATATAAATTGACTTGTTTCAGGAGATTCCGCAGAAATAGATAGTTTGGCGAAAAATGAATCAATTCAGTACTCGGATGCTCTACTTTCATATTACAGTGAGAGATATAATAAATATACCTATGGTTCCATTTGAAATTTTCAAGAAAAAATGGAAAATTGTCTGATTTTCCATACGGTGCTATCTAGCGGTCATCACGAGAATGGGCTCGTATCACAAAAAAAATTATTTCATAATTCGATAGAACTCACCGAAACTAGCTCACCACCGCAAACAGTTTCTTTCTGTGAGCTCCCTACGTTTTATAAAAAATTATTGAAATCCCCGATTTTTCGGACCTCTGAAAACGAGGCGATGATGTGACGTCAAAACCCTAATACTGAAACAAGACTATTCCAGAAAGAGATGAATGATACATGATTTCTGACTGAGTGAATTAGCGCGAGATCACAATTGAAAGGATTAATAAATCAGTTGTCTCAGTCTCCGTCGGGCGTTTGGTATTTTCTTTTAACTATGGCGTGATGAAGTGATGAGGTTTCTACGTCATGAGAGGGTCCGTTTTGAGAAGGTACTATTATCTATGTCCTAAAATAAAACATTCCAGTTAATTTTTCGATCGAATTATGTCGTCAATCATTATTTATGTATAAAAGGATCATTATAAACATGGTTAGAGTTAAAAGTTCTACTAAGGTGTACACGCCCATTAAATCGACTAAATTTGTGATAATATATCTGAAAGAACAGAAAAGGCCTCGAAAAAAAAACCCTTCATATTGAGAACAATACCTAACTATTGTAATAAGCGTTTTTTAAAGTAGTCTTTGTCCTCCCTTCCCTTTATTATTTGAAGAGCTAGCGCAATTTTTTAGATCCAAATGGTTGGGAATCAACTGGAGATTATGAAAAATGCGCCTTAAAACATACAATTTTCATAAAACCCCGGTTTATAAACTGCCAATCGCGTCATCTAGCGGTCGACCTGGAAACTTGAAAATAATTTTCAAATATTTTTCTTTGCCACTTTTATCATGAATATTTTTTCCGAAACCTGTGCGTCAAATGGTTTCCGAGATAAAGCCGACCATTTCTTAGTTGTACACCTTTTTTTTTTTCTTGTTTATCGCTTGGTGCGCACGGAAGGGAATCCCTATAATGTTCGAAGAACATCGTGCGTAGGTACCTGGGGAGGATAGGAAAAGGAGGTAGGTGTTGGAATTTTTTTGAACTTTTGGAAATACTTCTTCAGGCAATGAATTCCAGAGCTTTGCGGTTCTTTAGGTAAACGAGTTTTGATAAAGTGCTGTTCGATATAGTTCGAGGTTGACAACGAAAGAATGTGCTGACTGGGCTTGTCGAGTTCATCTGACAGGTATTGCTAGTCGTGGAATGATAGCAGAGATTTCTGAAGAGCATTTCCCGTGGGAGTATCTTTAAAAAAGTGAAAAGTCGCCGACCTTTCTACGTGTTCCAGTGATGTCAAAGTGTTAGTGAGTGTGGCATCACGCACCAGGCTAATGGCTCTTCTCTGGATGGAATCTAAGAGCATCAGCATATGTTTGGGTGCTGAACCCTATACATGAGAACAGTATTTTGAAACTGGCCGTATCTGTGCGTTGTAAATCATGAGAAGCTGTGGAGATGTAAAGTAGCTTTTCACACGGATTATCCCATGAAAGAGTATTGCTGATGGAGACACCGAGCATAGATATAGCTGTTGACTTGGTGGGAATGGTGGTATCAGACATTGCTATATCAGCCATACTGAGTTCCGCCATTCTAGAGGAAATACAGGCTTGGAATTCCATTGGAATCCCATGGGATGGAGAATGGGATTCTGGTGTACAAATGTTTTCAAGTTGATTGACCCTTCGATTGAAAATGCCAAAAAAAATTGAGTAGGCGTCAAAAATGTCATATTCCGATCCAGAATTGTCTCAGAAATTCCAAAATGTTATAATATACATATTGTTCCATTTAAAAATTCGAAACCGAAACCATTTCTAGTGAAGTGAGAAGTATGAAAAATTTCCACTTCACATACCATATACCCGTATCAAATTTCAATTTGATACACCGAACATTCTAGAGGTTATGGCTCGCCTGATAAATTAGTTGATATTTCCGATGAATGATATTAGGAAATATGAGTTGAAAATCTCTATGGATTCAAACTTAGGACATCAACATATTTTGTATGTGAAATTCTCAGATCTGATACAACTACTTCTGTATTACGTTTCATAAAAAAATCTTGTACCTTCCTATTCGTTTTCGAGATATAGGGCGTTGAAATTGAAAATAATCATAAAATGATTTTCATAAACACTCCGTATAAGCTATGTATAGTAACGGCAAAACATAGTGTGCTATGTGAATGAAATGGTGTCGATATTCTAGTCTGATGTCTAAATGGTAATGCAGCAATCTGAACGGATGTTTTGAATGAACTATTCAACACCTACACCAACATTTTCAGTCAAATTCGGTTTCTTGTTTTCACTCGAAAACGGTGTTCAACAAGAAGTTCTAACAAAACGGCATTCTTCCTATGAAACTGAACATTTTTCGTATGTTATAATGAAATTTGAAAATTTTCCATCAATACCTGTTCACTATACAGGGTGTCCCAACGAAAACTTTCCACCCGGATTTACTGGGAAATGACAAATTATTTTCGGAAACGCTGAAACACGTCGATTTTGATTTCTAGGGGGACACATGTCAGTGATGAATTTAGTCACGCAACTTCATCCCCCTGACAGGGGCGGCTACCCCATTGCGAATCATCATAGGGAACTTGGGTCGAGTGATACATCATCTTCAAGCTCTCGTCATTCTCTATCCAAACGTCCATAATTTTTCCAAAATAGAATGAATGGTGATTGAAATTAGTGTTGTTGACAGGTTCAATGTAAATAGTCAATATCTTACCTGTTCTTATTCAAATTAAATTTATTAACTATTTTAAGACTCAATGAGTGGACAGATAGACAATAGCAACATCCCATCCGGTCAGGTAATCCAGTCACCCCACGAAAAACGAAAACAAATTAGTCAAAACAAAGTAAGTAGCCAGGTTGGGACTATTAATAGCGAAGATCTTTCAACCAAGTATCAGTTTTATGTCGCTATTCGCGAATACAACATCACAAGCGGAAGATGCCCACCCCAATTGTGAGCGAAACGTCCAAAGGAACCTCCTCCACAGAGGTGAACCGACCACGGCACTGAAGCCCGGAAACCATATTTCTTAGTTTTTGTTCTGTTGACTTTTTCATAGACAAAAAATACCTGTTTTTTATGGTTCTCCTGCGTGTATGTTCTCAGCATGAATTCACAGTTCGCATGATTCTTCTGGAAATATCATTTGATTCGTATTCTGTGAGTTAAGTTTCTGCCTGACAATGGTTTACGCATTAGAAGAACGAATTGAGTTAGTGAAACTTTACTACAAAAATGATGATTGTCTAAGAGCTGCAGCTAGAATTTTCAATACAAGGCATCCAGGGAAAAATGCATCTCATACCTATGTTCAAACGTTGATTGAGAAATTCGAAAGAACTGGGTCTGTGGGAAACCAGAAACATCATCCTGAACGTCTGATAAGGAACGAGGCTGTTGAGATAGCGGTTTTGGGGCACGTGGCTATGGATCCTACTCAAAGTATTAGAAGCTTGGCTGACGCGTCAGGTGTAGCGCGATCGAGTATTCAGAGAATTCTCAAGTCACATCGATTCCATCCATACAAACTAAAACTTGTACATGAACTGAACGAAGACGATTTTGACAGACGTCAACAGTTTTGTGAGGAAATGTCTGAGCGTCTGAGAACAAATCCCAATTTGCTCTTCAATATTTGTTTTTCAGACGAGAGTACATTTTTTGTTAATGGAAACGTGAATCGTCACAATTGCCGCTACTGGAGCGATACCAATCCCAGGTTAATACGTGAGGT